TCCCTGAAGGAAGGGCATCAGTCCCTCCCGGCAGGTTAAAGGGCCTGTTCAGCTCGCGTTGCCTGCCGCAGGCCTGTGTCTTTATAAAGCCGATGTTTCCCAGCTGCTGACAAACACCTCGAGCTGTTCCTAAACTTCCCAAACTTGCACATTTTGAAAGAAAACTGCCCACAAGCTGAAATCCCTTTGGCTACCGAGCTCCGAGTCACAGATGCCCTTCCCCTGCGGTATAATTAATGGCTCTTATGCTCGTTATCCCCCGGCGGGTAGGCCAGCAGCAGTGCGAGGGGCTGGCAAGCGGCCGGGGCTGTCGCCCGGTGGTTTCTCCTCCCGGCGTGGCTTTGGTAGCCCCTGCAGCCCTGGGAAAGGGTTGCAGCCCTGGCAGCGTGCTGGGGGTCCTTAAGCGAGTCGTGGTTTGGTAAGGTAAAATCCCTGCTGTCTTTAATTGGGTCGTAAAGCGCAAACTGATGAGCCCAGCCCTGCCAAACCTGGGGAGGGACTGGAAGGAGAGCTTCGGTGAGTCAGTGCTGCCTGGGGAGCAATGGGGGTAAAACCCAGCAGAAGTACCCGCTGGCAGCTCCTCCAGGCCTCCGGTGGCAGCGTGGAAGGGCCCCTGGTAGGTTAGCACTTGGGTGCAGAAAACCTGGAAACAGTTACGTGACGTGAGGTGCTGTTATTAGATGGCTGAGATAAGGTATTGCTGCTGTTCTTTTTAATTCTCCCTCTCCATGCAGAACAAAAAAAAACCCAGCACATTTAATGGAGAGGTGAAATAAAACTGAATTTGGATACATACCAAGAAATGTATTTATGTAAATAGGCCGTAATGTTTGCATGAAGTGTAAATGAAATGGTAAGTAAAATAACAATCTTATCTATGTGTGAGAGACAGACACGCATTAGGTAAGAACTGTAAATGTTTCTCGCTCTAACCAGTAGTTTGCAAATTTGTGTAATAGTCTACCAAGCCTGGGTATCTTATCCACCTGCTGTGAGTGTTTTGGAACTGGAATGGAGCTATTTTGCAGTGAATTGTCATAAGCATAATTACCTTCTAAGTCAACCTTTTGTTGTGTTACTTTAATAGTCAAGCGTTCAAAGTTAAACAGAAATCGTTGCCTGTCTTTAACATCAGAGTAGGAGATTGGCACTGGTATCTCCTGGCTCTCATTTCAAGTCTTTCTGCATAGCCTTGGATAAAGTCACTTAAGGCTTTCTTTTTTCAGTGCATCCTGTTGGTAATCTGAAATATGGAGCTTCAAGTTGTCATGTCAGTTTGTTTTTCATATGTTCTTATCTGGTTCGTGTAAATTCAGTAGGAGTAATACTTGCCTGGTTTTCTTGAAAAATTGGACACTAATTTAGGGTCTAACCAGTAGTTCTGATGTTTCGTAAAAATCTATTTTAAACAATTAGTCTTTTTTCTTCCTGTTGTAAAGGGTGGAATTATGTTCTGTTTTTCGCCTTCTGCTCCCTTCTTCATAAACTCCATCTAGTGACAACCCGAGTGTCTATCTTTTTCCACAGATGTCATCTGGGTGATCCTCAGCGTGGAAGTTGGAGGACTTCTAGGTGTAACACAGCAGCTGTCGTCCTTTGAAACGGAGTTCAACACGCAGCCACATCGCAAGGTAGAAGGAAACTTTAACCCATTCGCCTCTCCACAGAAGAACAGGCAACCAGATGAAAACAACCTAAAAGACCCTGGGGGTTCTGAGCTAGGCACAATCAGCAAAAACACATGGGGGCCTGCTCCTGACCAAATTGAACAAGATCAGAATGGACTGTCACAAAACTCTGTAAATCTCTCCCCCAGCAGTCACTCGAACAACTTGTCGGTAGTGACGTACAGTAAGGTAGGTGCCCTGGGAGAACAGGAGAATGGGTAGGTGATGAGACTGTGATGTATGTAATAGTTCTTCGTTACAAACTGCAAAGCCCTTCCCTTCTGCTTCTGCCAGACCTGCTAAGGAAGGTTTTGAATTTGACTGTCTGACTCTGCCAACTCCTCATGTTATACTAAAATTTTTTTGCCTCTGATAGACTCTACCAGATCCACCTTTTTGGTTTTGCTTCAAGTCCTTCTTAAAATTTATATAATCTTGTCTGGGTGCTGTAACTGTTAGTGGCTGGAGGCTGCTCCAGTTGCTTGTGCAAATAAGTCAAAATATCTCTCTAGATGTGCTCCTGAGTTTTACATAGTTTTGAAAAGAGAAAAAACAACCACATCCCCAAAACCTAAGATTAACCAGATAACTTCTTTTTAGCTGGGGTGGGGAGACTACAGAGCTCAACATTTTGATCCCAGAAGCTACCTGTCAGGAACAGTCAATCAAAGGACTATTCCTGTCTGTGTCCTTGTCTTGTTTATAATTGTAGGTGACTTTTAAATTATCTTTACTTTAAATCTTTCTCAAAAGCTTGCTTGGTGGATGCTATATGAGTCTGAGTGATATTTTGACTGTTTTTATTTGCTTGTGTGTGAAAAATGAATTGCAGGATAATTTACAATTCAGAATCCACCTGTTAATGCAGCCAGTATGTGTAGGTGTGTGCTGTCATATGTCAAACTACTTTGATTTTTAAAATCCTTTAAAAATGCTTTACTGTACTTTAAGCAGGCTGTGTAGGACAATAACACTTGGTTGCTGAATGACTTAATAAAGCCCTAATGTTAGTTCACCTACAGCACTTTAGTTCCTAACTGGATGAACTGCCTGTCCTCTACCAGTGGATCATATTTTAGTGACCTACTTTGCACCAGGGCTATGCATTTTTTTACTGATGGCATGCGTGGGATGAACTGTTTGACAGACTACCAATCACTGTTTTTGTGTTTTGCACCCCAAACATAAATTGCTATAAGCTGTATTGGCACCTGCTTCAAGATTCTCGCTCACTAAAAGTGAAATGGATGACTTAGGAAATGAATAAAAATAAAGCGTTTCACCTGTCAGTTCAGATACAACCTGAATTAGCAGTGACTGAAAGTTCCTGCCTTCTGGTGGTTGCTTGGTGGACTGTGGTGTGGCTTGAAGAGACAGGCCGTTGTCTGACTGCAGAGGCTGTCCATATGCTGATACAGTTTCTCTGCATAAACTTTCTCAGGTGCCTCAGGTGGGGAGTGCTGCCGTGCGGCTGTCTGTTGTACGTATCCCAGCAAAGACTGGTAACAGCTCTGCGTATCAGTTGATGAAAAATAAAAATGAGGTGCCAAGTACAGCTTGGTGAGATAGTGGGTTTACCTGAGCCTTTCATAGCTAAAATACTAGGTTTAATTTGGGTGGGAAAGCTCAATTCCACTTTTGGTGGTCAGCTGTAGGCTGGAGGTGGCTTTTTTTCCCATTGCCTATTTTCTGAGTGCAGAGCTTGGCAACTGCTTCGTATTTGATTTGCGCTTGCAGGTGGATAGGTGTGGAATTGCTATTTTATGCACATCTGAGAAAGTGCCTGCATAGAAGTTCTGGATGTGGGTTTTTAGCAGTAATGTGGCCTTCAGTTGTCACTAGGTCTCTGGCTGTGGTAATAACATCCTTACCTTTCCTAGTGGGAGGAGAGTGGTGTGGGCACCGGGCGGTGAAGTGTACCAACAGACTCTCTTGGCTGAGGGAGTAGATGCTTTGTCTGTTCTAAGAACACAGGTGTCAGAAACCCATACCTATTGAAGGTGCAGAGGACATAGCGAAGGTCAGCTGTGCTGTGAAAAAGCAAAGCCAAAAAGGGGAGTGAAGCACTGCCAGAGAGGATTTTGCTAAATTTAAGTAAGCTGGTTTAGCGAGTAACCCAAAGTTCATGACCAGTACTCTTATGAGATGTGCGCCATTATAATCTAACCTCAGGCTAAGTGGTCTTTCTCCCTTCTTTCTTTGTGGTTGTTTTGTTCTGGGGTTTTTTGTTTCATTTTATATTTACAGAATATTCTTGGGTGGGTTTGAGGTGGATGATCTGAGATAAAAGCAGAAATTTTGTTTCTTGCTTGCTTCAGAAGGGATAACTTTGTGGTCCTTTTTGGAGATGGGGTAGGGTATGTGAAAGTTCATTGATTTTTGAAGGTTTTTTTGGTCTCTACTACAGAGTTTTTATTTGTGACATAATAAAACAAGTTAGCTTTTCCTTTGGAGGCCGTTATTAAGGTAGGTTTGAAGATAGGAGTCCTGTTCCAGCCTTGCCCTTCCTGACCAGGGCAGGAGGCATTCTGCCACAGACTTAATGTGCATCTTGGTACAATACTGTTTCTGTGGTGAGCAAGTTTGGGTAGGTTTGACATCCTGGATACTTGGTCTCGTTCAAAATTGCCAGGTGAACATGCTCACCTTCCCTGGTTTAGGTCTAGCACTATTGCATGCCTTTTTCCTGCAGTCTGGCGAAGAAGATACTCTTTTTTTTTTTTTTCTGAAAAGGGGTAATGTAAAAGTAGTATCCCCAGCTGAGGATACTGCTTAAGCAGAAAAGGGCTTATTGGAGGTGATATCAGAAGTATTAAACCACCTGATCAGCAGATGGTGTTCCAGTAACTGTTAGGAAAAGCTGTATTGGGCCCATCTTCCCTACTTCCCCAGGGGCTTGACCTGTACTCTGCAGCTTGAGAGGGGGGTAGAAAACTGCTGTGTTTGGAGCTGTTGTCTTGTGGTTGAATATTCATGTGAAAGGCTTTATTTCAAGCTCTAGGAGCAGACAACAGAGTGCTGTGGGTTGGTTACGCAGTTGCACGCTAGGATTCCTGGATTTTATTTCTCTTCGGCAGGACCTCTGATATTTTCGTCTGCTTTCATGTACCTGGAGAATGGAGTGAATCTTTAGGCGGGTTTGACATGCCATTTGGTGAGATGTAGCAAAGGGGGTGGGTAAGGTCTTGTTAAGCTGTTCAGAAGGGCCATGTCCCATATTTAGAAGTAATGTAAGCCCTTAAATATTTCTAAGATCAATGTGGAGGCTTCCTCCATGCCAAGAGATCGTGCAGTTGCATGAGACCGTGAAATCTTTGAGATAAAACTAGCAGTTTCTGGCATCTGCAGCTGTAAAGCACACTGGAAGTTGCCAGACCTCGTCCTGTATTAGTTCTCCCTCTGGTGCAGCCAAGCAGGTGTGACTTTGTCCTCTAAAATTCCCCATTGGAGTCAGGATATCAGTGACACTGACGTGCCATCTGCTGCTGTACTAGACAAGTATATCAATGTTTCACGTGTGGAAACATTCAAAATGCTTTTATACAGCAGTTTAGAGTACACGGTTCAGATGCTCTGCTCAATGAACCAAAATTCCCTAGGAAAACAACAAAAGATGCTGAATTCCTTATAAGCAGATCAGATTAAACCTGCAAAATAGCTGAAACAAACTGAAAAAAAAAGCCTGCTGTAGCGTATGTCTTCCCTGGGTCTGCCCTGCTTACCTTATCAAATAAGCTCCTGGAAGGTGGTATATCAGGGTCCGCGTTCAGGTCATTGCTTTAAGCATGTTGTTGTTATATCCATTCCCAGTGGAGTTTTTGCATGTTCTTAGAATTAAAGATCTGCTTCAGTGCAGAATAGGATGCTTCTCTCAGGGTAGGGATGAGTTGGATTAGAGTCCGGATATACCCATGCATGGGTATTTTATTCTGCTCTTTGTCAATCACTTTCTCTCTATATTCTCAGGAGAGATGAGGCTAATATAGTTTCCTTCTATTTACTCGCTGCTGTCTCATAGCAACACTGTTGAGGTCACTGCTGCTCTCTTGTGACAGTCTTTTACATTAAAAGTGCAAGATGCAGTCTGACAGTGCCTGGGGAATTAGAGTTAAGTTTCTTAACTAAGGAAAGAAATGTAGAGGTGTAAATGCCTAAAAAGATCTGCAGTAGATAGCCATATACTGACATTCAGATTGTACTTGTCACCTATATATAAAAATATATATATATCTCTAGATCTGTTGCCCATATGAATTGAGGAATTGCTGCTTTCTGTGTTAATGCGGAAAACTGCATGTGGAAGTTCTGATTCTGCAAAGATTTGCCCATACAGAACAATTTGCGTAGTCGCTGCCAAAGCAAAGGGTGTTCTGCAGCTCGTCTGGTATTATTAATCTGTTCAGTTCGTTACTCATGCTACTCTTAAACCCAAAGAAGCGTATTTGGAGTTCACAGAATTAAAATCTGAACACCTTTTTTCCTGCTGTATTTATGCTCCCCATCTTACTTCGTTCTGTGTGGAGCTGAACTCTGATCCATGCTACTTGGCAGCTTTCTATACATAAGGGGAAACCAAACCTCTCTCTGTCCATAGAGCCTTTAACTGGCTTCCCCTCTCTGAGTTTAGAAGTTGCTGCCGCTTCGAGATGCGTGCTTCCTCCAAACCAGCGCTCTCCAATTTGCATATTTTTGGAGTACCTCTGTAAACTTTAGACAGAAAGTTTTTTCACTGGAAACTAGTTGGGTACCAAACTATATTTGTGGATAAGGAAGATGCCCCAGAAATGTTTGCTTCCATGTAGAGGAGAAGCTTCTTCCATCCTGGTATCTGGGCTTCAAACCGGGCTAGTTACCACATGGTTAAATTCATTTAGGACAAGGTGGGAGAACATTGAACTCAAACTGCCATAGCTGCTCTTTGACAGCCACACTGCTGCATAGCATCTGCAGGCTAAACTGATGTTGCATGAGCTGGTTTGCTTATCTGGTGAAAGACTAATGTGTTTGGATGCTGCATGTTAGCTCATCCATGAAAACCGACAGTCCGTGTGCTTTTGGACTGTGGGAAATGTGAAATAATCTGATTTTAGCTTAACTTTGCTCCATTGCAGGCCAGCAGAGTTTCCCTGTTCTTTTATCCCTGCAGACTAAAAGCACGCCATTGATTAAGTTACAAGAGCTAAGTTGTTGCATGGTAACTTAATCATGTACCTGAGCCCTCGTGTACTTCATCAGCTCTGTGCATCTAAACCAGCCCTACGAGTGGCTGCGCTGTGAGAAGATTCTTAACTTCCTGGTGGTCTTAACTGCCACGCCATGTTTGCACAGCATGCATGGAATAAAAAAAAAAAGTGCTCAATACTTTGTTCTTCTGTTTGTGTTCAGTTTACGTAAGTTAGTCAAGAGAACTCTGCGTAGTTTGGAGAAGCACTGACTAGGAGTGGCCCAGGAGGTGACGAGGAAACGGGGACTTGTAGCGTTGTCTGATGCTGCTGTCAGTGTACACTGGGAGACACCTGTATTGCTTTGCAGCCGTGCATCAGAACCTCTGTCTCTCCTGAAGTATACCTTTTATTGGTCTTGATTCAGTCACAAGGTGAAATAAAGATAGCTATTTGAAAGCCTGTGTTGTGATGGTTTATGAAAGATTGATGTAATCTTCGTTTTATTTCTGGCACAGGTGCCTGCATTTAAAGAGCTCAGTATTTACAAAGGCCTTTAACTTTCCAGAGGATCTCAATTCCCTTCTAGATGCAGAAGACAAATGATAATTTATATCCATAATTTTCATGTAGAGTCATATCTTGGAAAAACATGGTCCTCTCTTCTCACATACTTATCTGTATGAATACCCAGTATGCTTTCACTCGCGAGTTAGCAATTACTTCTGTGGAAGATATTGAAAGAACTGAAAGTAAATTTGCAAAGCTGCAGCTGAGCTTTTCATAGAGGCAATGATCTCATTCTGAGAATGGAAGGGAATTCGCCAAAAACAGTGTGAATAATTCTGCAGTTGAAAGAAGTCAGAAAAACTGCAATTGTATGCAGAATTATTTTTGCAAGTTTGTGATGTAAAATACTGCATACAAGGGATTATTATCCTTGAGCATGCCATAGAATGGAGTTTGGTATTTGTATTGCAGCAGTAACTGAAGTTTTCAGGTATCAAGACACTATTACACTGTGCATGTTGAATAAATGTAATGAGAAACAATTGCTCTGCAGAGAGCTTGCATCTTACGGAGGAACAAGAAAGAAAATATTCTCATTTCGCAAAGAGGAGTAAGAGTTTCTTGCTCCGGGTCTGTTGTTAAACCAAGTCTACATTTGGTATTAAAGAAAAGAAACAAGTGTTTTTAATTTTGCAAGTTCTCATGTACACTAAGAAATCGCACGGGTAAGTGAAATGCAGTAAAGAATGGCAATCCCAAAAGCAAAGATTTTTGGCTTTTTCTTGGTGAAATTCATTGGGTCAGGAGAAGCTGCCCTTGGTGGCAGATTCTGGGACTACTCTTGGAATTGCTTGTGAGACGAGCTCATCTAGGGGTGTCAGCCTGTTAAGCGCAGTGCAGCAAGTGGTACAAAGCTGTATATGCTTAGTAACTTGACACTCTGAAGGTGAGCTCAATTCTGGTGTTAATTAACACATGATTAGCATAATTGTGTAGGTTTAATTAGATGCTGCAGAAAACAGTATCTGGAGATCCAGAGGGTTTCACTGAAAACAAGGTTAATGGCCTCTGCAGAGGCTCTCTGGGTACGAAAGGAGTAATGACCTGTTCTGATGTCTGACTTCAGCTGAAGACTCTGGACTGTGTACTGATCAACTGTGTTAATTCTTCTGTGTCACGGGGTGATGCAGATGCCTTGCCTTATGGCGGTCGCACGTTAAATCAGCAAGGTGTTGCCAGTGACACAAACTGGTGTACGTCAGCGGTGCGAGGCCGGCTCTGCTGCAGGCGGCAGCCCGGGCAGCGGGAGCAGGCAGCTGGGAGCGGCTGGGGTTTAAACCACTCTTGTGAGGTTTGTGAGTGCTTGCCAGTCAGTACCTGCAAACAGAGCCGCCTGTGCAGATGACTAAAAGATGAAGCAAATTCTGGCAAATGTGTCTGTACAGGAAATCGGCAACAAATCCTGTTTTTCTTCGGTAGAGCAAGAGCTTAACCCCTTTGAGGTGAGACTGCTTAGGGTCTTGCTTATGCCATTGCTTTCCTTCTGTGTCCTTTGGGGTTGTTTCTGTGCACCTGTTCACACTGTTTTAATGTTTCTCTTGTGCTCTTCCCCTTCCCTCTGTTTCAGTGACTGTATTTTTTGGATATGTTTGATATCTCAGTCTCTTGATTTTGGTGGGAGCTTCTCCTTTCTGAGCAACTATTGTGCTGGAATCTGCTGGGTGTTCTCTTTTGAACAGCTTGGTTAACAAACTGGGAGTGCAGCATATTCCTAGGGTGGAAGAGTGTTTGGTTTTCCATCACTCACATGTATTTCTGTCTGCAAACAGCAATTTCCAAGTTTCCAGTCGTCCGTACTTCCCACACAGTTCATGAGATGTCCTGTTTAATTGTCTGCTAATCTTCCTTTCTTGGTGGAATTTTGAGAGCTGCTGACAGATACTTCATTTTACCATTGTCTTGTATTTTGCCAGATGATATACCTAAAGAATTAACGTTTTCTCACCAGCTCTAGCGAGATTACAGGCTTTCTTATAGCACTTTCTTTAACATAAATGTACAACAGAGATCTTGAACTTGGGTTTTTGCAACTGGGCTTAAGCTAATGAAGCTGTCTTTTGTACAAGTCATGTTGAAGACTCATTGCTTCATGGCTCTGTGGCTTATGCGGTTAGGTTGTTAGAGTTATAGGAAAACAGGCAGGAGATGATGTTTCCTTTGAGATTTGGCCTGTTAAAGGCAAAATGGTGAAAACTGAAGTCAGAGTGTCACTTAAAGACCAGGAATGGCTCTGTGTTATTTGGGCTCTTGGTTGCCTTGCTCATCAGCATGCTGGAAAGAAGCTGGACTGTCTTAAAAAGTATTTGCATAATGATCTTCCAACTTTGACAATGATGCGTAATGAGCTTTTCTCCCTTGTCTCACTTCTGACCTGAGTGTGTGTCTGGATCTTACAGGAGGATTTTGTGTGTAGTTTGTACCTTTGTCGTTATGACAAACTTTATATCCCTATGACTTGAGATCTCTTGCCTTGCCTTGCCTTCTGTTGCTTCCTGATGAAACCGTGGATAGCTGATTTGAACAATAGAAAGGAGAACTTACAGAAAGGAGTTCCTGTTAATTTGAGACCTGTTACTAGATCTGTCATTGAAGTGACTCACTTCAGGACGTAAAGGAGGGAAAATGGATTCTGTAGGAAGCATTTTGATTTTTTTGGTTAAATGTTGCGGTTGATTTTCACTTGAGGAAAATGTGTATTGTTATCTTGAGAGTGCAAAAGTGGCAGTTGTGGGATGGTGGATTTCCAAATACTGATTTGTTTGGTTTTTTTTTTTCTTAAATAGACCCTTCTACTAGTTACAGCCTCTTACCTCACTGTTTGCTGTAATCTTTAGAATAGAGTTGTGAAACTGCAGTTGTTGTCCTTGCTGGTATTGTAGTGTCTATAGGGGATTTTTGCTCTGGTGTAGAAAATACAAGTTATTTTATGGCCCAGTAACACCTGGCTATTACCTGGCCTAAATAACACCTGAAAGAGGTAAGTGGCTAGCACCAGACATCTTGGGGAAACCAGCTGCAAGCACTGAAACCTGCGTATTAGGGGTGCTTCATAAGGCTGGGCAGCACAGGTCCTGTTGGTGGGTAAAGGGCTGCATTTGGTTTAGAAGTGCTGGGATGGGCTGGTCGGCATTTGTAGGTGTACACTGATCAATTTTTATTTCTTGCCTATTGAAATTGATTATGTCTCCAACTTTCTTTCAGGGTTTCCACGGTCCTTATCCCTTCGGACAGTCTTAAAACACAAAAACACAAAACGGGTATCGACAAGAGGAGAATTTAACAAAGAACTGACTTTTCGGGGAAGGGAGGGGGATTCATGTGGCAGACAGACACAACGTGGACCCCCCGTTCTCTGCCTCCGTGTTCTGGATAAAGAAGAAAAAAAAAAAAGCCCAGTAACTTAAGACTAGCTGTTTCCAGAGGAAAATACAAAATCAAAGTATGCATGTGTGAATGCTGGATTTCAGGAGCGTTGTTAAATTCTATGAAAAAGAAAATATACCAACACCATGGGTTTTTTTTAGAAATCATTCTCACACGTAATTAGGTAGCTTGAAGTTTAAAAAATTTAAATGAAAAAGCCATCTTTAAAAAAAAAATATTTTGCCTACAGAGCGGTTGTAGTTTGAGCAAATGTTTAATTTCTGTTTGTTTCTTGTTCATATTTTTTTAAAGAAGGGACAGCGTGCATTTTTATGAAACTGTCATGTTTTGCTTGCTACCGAATGGGAATTTGCTTAGCATCTTCTGGGGTTTGCGCAGTGACTTCTTTTTGTTGGACATTTTTTAATGACAGGTTGGGTCTGCACCCAGCTCTGCATTTTTAATATCATCTACTGGTTTTAGTTGCCAACTTTTTAATCTTCTTTTATTTCTTTTTTTTTCTTTACCCTTTGGTTTGGGTGTTACTGTTGGTTGTCCTGCATGTCGTCGGAAACCATGCTGAAGACCAGGTCTGGGTATCAAAGTTGGAGAGGAAGACTCTGGGACTTCTAGGATAACAAGGAGGGCTCCTTTCCCATCCCCTTGTACATGAAGTACACACAAATACACACCCATATTGATAAGAAACAGATTTATTAAAGTTCCAGAGCTGTCCTGTGTGGTTACATTTTAAAATACCTTTTTGTTAACTCTTGATGTACAGTAGCTGTGCCTAGAGCAACCAAGCAAGCGTATCAGTCTTGTGCCAAGAGGAAACTCTTTCTGTAGCGGTAATTCACTTGCTAGTAGTTGCAAAGCTTTGCAAAGGTCATGTCCTTTTAATTTTGACTCTCCCATCTCTCTCTTATAGTGTATAAGTTTGCATTCTTTTCTTCTGTGATACAGTATTAGCTTAGAGGCTAATTGTTTGCATTTTTGAGTGCAGAGCAGGAGTTAGCATCATCAGCTGGATTCCACTCTGTCGCCTTGTATTCGTTTGCCTTGATCATCCTGGCTTGTAACTTCGTTGAGGCTCTTGCCTGCTAAATGGGCTCTCCAGGGCTTGGTGTTAGAGGATTCGCTCCACTAAAGATTCGGGTTGCTCTGCTGTTCCTCCAGTTACGGATTGGGAAGTCCAGCGTGAGGGGAGGGGGAATGGCCTCGGGTGCTGTGGTGGATTTCTACAGCGCTGCATCAGCACAGATCCCGCTGAAGGGGAGCGAGGTGAGAGGACACAATCTTACTTGGAAACGTGAACAAGGCTGGAACGGCCATCTGCCAAAGATACAGTAATATGCAAAGCTCCCACTACCTTCTTCCAGATCTTTCCAGCAAAGACTCTTGTTCTCCTTGTAGGAGCAGGGTGCAGGCTTGCTGCATGGTGTGTGGCTTTACACCGATTGCTCTTGAATAGTTGTATTTTCTTGGTTGGTTTTGAAGGGGGGATTCATTTTCATTGCAGCTACCAAGGGCTCTCTTTATCTTAGAGCATACAGATGGATCTTGTGAAGGCAGTGGAAGTTCCTTGTAGCCAACAGAGTAAGAATTGGGCGATAGATTTTGTTGTATTTCAGAGGTTCGGTTGTTAAAGGTCACTGTTATCTGAAGTTTCCCTTTCAAAAATCTGTTTGCTGTGAGAAACAAGTATAATGTAAGAAATCATCTGCATCAAAGAGGCACTGCAGGGTTTGGACTGCTAGCCATGTGCACTTGTGTTTTGGTGAGCTCCTGGGTCTGTCTCAGCAGCTTGCTAGAGCTGGGTGAGTGTCGAGATCCAGGGTGAACCCGTGGAAGCTGGTGCTGTGCTGCTTGGTGCAGCTGTAGTGTTTGGTTCTTGTAACATCATTAGTTATCTCCTCTTAGCATTCAGTCTAGGGAATGATTTGCATCGTTGTAGTGTAGTGTGGGCAAGTGGATTCTTTCTTTGCTCCCTCCTTCCCAAGCAGGTGGCTTGTGCAACAAGCTCTGAAGGCCTGAACATGTACCTGACCACACATCTTCACTTCCCTGCTGAAGGCATCTGAAACACTGGAGGCTGCTGTTGGTCCAAGTGACAAAGTGATTCCTTATCTTTATTAGCTCCTTTTATCAGCTGTGTTAGTGGAAGGGGTGGAAAAATCAAGATCTGAGTCTGTATGTTATAGCTGGTGCTGCAACCTTTGCCTCGTGTCAGCTGAGGCATCTGTGAGACCCTTGAACTCGGATACCCCCACGCTGGCTTTCTTCTGCTCCCAGCCACGTGTGCTCCTCCTGTATATAATGGCTGCCATATTCGTGTTCCTGTGCTCCTCCTAAGACTGAATTTTCCTTTTCTTGAAAAAAAAACTTGCATGCACCCCAAGTAGTCGTGTGCTTTCCCACTCAGAAGGCATACTTGTTCTGCACAGACTTGTATTCTCTCTCCTCTCGAGTGTTTTCAGTCCATGGTGTCCTTGTGACAAGGGTTGCTTACTCCAGGGTGTGAAGAAAGGCAGGGCCAGATCCGAGT